TAATCCATATGCCGCTGCAAAGATGAGAACCTTTGAAATGTTTTAATGCATGCGTCGTCAAGGCACGAGAACAACTTCACGTCACAGTGGCATGACTCTGACTCATCGCTTGTTTTATCATCAGATTTTTGTGTTCCAACTTTTCTTTCTTCCATTTCCTTTACAGCTAATTGAACTGGTTTATTTTTCCTTGCAGTAATATTAAAAAACTAGCTGTTGGAGAAGCTGTGTCTTCAATGATGTTTAGATTCGGTAAGAGATATTTCTTTGGTAAACCAAACTGAGACAGCTGAATCTGTTTCCCCTCGCCTATTCCATATTCTCTCCACACTTTAATGGTGGTCTTGCTATATCCAATGTTATTTATAAAGCTTACACCTTCCCATTTTGCTGCCGGAAGAGTTGATGGAATAGATGTTAGTCCACAAACCATAACTCTTACTCCAGGGATATTTGAAGACTCTATGGCCGCTTTCATTTGGCTTGCTGTCTGCACGTCGTGAACTGTATCAACGTATAGCCTTATGGCGTTCTTGAGTGTAGCTGCCTTCCGGTCACAGACACCTTTGCCACCCTGGGGGTCCGAGAAGTCTACCCTCATAGTAGTGTGGCTGCGCTATGATAGCAACCAGCATTTTCTTGCCTCAGGTAGACATTGTTGATCTCTGGAAAACTGGCCTTTAGTTGTTTCACAACATCATCAAGTATAGCCTGGACAATAATACTATCTTGAGAGCACTTTTGAAACATGTGTACAAATGTTAGCGTTTGCACTTGACTTTGAAACTTTCTGGTAGCAACTGAAATGTKCCATGAAATTCCCCTTTTCCCGAACCAATCGGATTGGCTTTCCCGGTACTTTTTTGGAAGGAATTTTATTGCCCAATCTAAGGTAACAAGAACTGACTTTGGCTCCAAGTTGTTCAGGACATCAAGTCGAGCCTCATCTTGGTTTATTGAGCGGAGTGTGTGGGCCTTCCATGCTTATGTATTCTTCTTTGACTCGTCAATTATGTACCTCATTTCATCTTTCYCCTCGTCGGACATCTCAATAGATCCTAACACTGTTTCGATCTCTTCAATGACATTTGGGAAAAGACCACATCGATCACAACCAATGTCATGCTGATGATCAAAGGTTAAAGTATGTTCTTTGTCGCCCTCAAAGCTAAGTGCGTATGCTCTGCAATGGTCAGGGACCTTTGAGCTTGAAGACACATGAACCTATAGAGCAGT